TGTGTATTAAATATTGTATACATGTCCATGATTTGAAATGCATGCATTATATTTCGTTACTTTTTAATTAATTTAAAAGAAATTTATGCTAAGGTCCCTCTAAATTACCGTTATTTAAGAAATCCTCTCAAAAGTTAGATTTTACGTTCATGACTATTTTTTTTCAGTTTTTATTTTCCCAAATTGCTTGTACTTCGGATCTTGAAGGTCTGAAGTTTAATCTTGTTTTGCTCATAAACTCAATTTACACCTTAAGGTCCAAAGTTGTTTTGAACATCAACTTCGGCCCTTCATGGTCCAATGCTGGTTTTTGCTTACAAAAACATCAATTTTGAACCGTCGAGATCCGAAGTTGGTTTGAGACCTTAAGTCGGTCTTTTATTTGACAGGAACATTTTACATGCACGCATGTGTGTTTTCATTATGTTGCTTCTTGTTAAAACTACTAAGATAACCTTTATCATGTACCTTATTGTGAGCAACTAGTGCATTTGATGTGGAGTATTTTGGTTGGGTTTTTAAGGGACAACTGAAAAATTGCAAAACCTCGATAAACCACGTTTTCAGGGCTTTTTGTTGGCACGAAAACATAAGGGGTCTCAAACATCAAGTTTGGACCTTGAAGGTCCCAAGTTGATTTATATAAAGAAAAAGAACTTCGGACCTTGAGATCTGAAGTTGATGTTTGGAACATCTGACCTTAAAGGTTCATAGTAAGCTTCATCATCCTCATCGTTCAAGTCTTATTCCAATTATTTAGGGTTGGCTGCATGAATCCTGTTTTGCCATTCTACTCATTCAATAGCAATACCCTCAATAAGACCATTTATAGTTAGCTTAGGAGTGGGGAAAACAAAAAATTGAACTTTGGACCTTCAATGTCCGAAGTAGGGTCACTTGAGGAAAATATAAAATATGAAAAAATTATGTATGTACAATCAAACTTTTTCGTACAATTTCTTCATCATCATCTAAGCTTTTTCCTAACTAATTGGGGGCTGCTGCATGAATCTTAGTCTGCCATTCTGCTCTTTTAAGGGCTTTAACTTTAGTGAGGCCATAAGTCTCCGTATCTTTTCTCATTACTTCCAACCACGTTCTTTTCGGCCTACCCCTTGTCCTTTTTGAGCCTTCCACTTGAACTAACTCCCACCTCCTAACAGGTATTGAACTGGGTCTGCACCACACATGGCCAGCCCACCGAAGTCTACTTTCTCTCCTCTTATCGCCTATCAGTGCCACACCTAAATTCTCCCGAATTTATTCATTTCGAATTCTATCCCTTCTTGTCTGTTTTTTTTTTTGAATATCTTAACTCTTGTATTGAAAGAGGATGAAGAAGTACAAGTGTCTATCGAGGCGACCCACAATCCGGTTCCCTCGAAAAAAATTAAGCTACCCTGGTCCTTGTACAACAAAATGGTTGGGGCTTATAGTTCTGCCCATTACAATCATATACAACCAAGAGAAAAAGGAAGGTTCAAAAAGTCCAAAGCATTCTGTGAGACATGAAGCACAACTGTGGAACAAAAACTCCAGTCGCTCACGTGCTCAAGAGTGCTCCCTCCTTAGCCAGTTGGTCTGCCAAGGTGTTTGATGTCCTCCAACTATGCGTCCATAAAACATCTGTATACCTGCAAATATGCATAATCTCATAAAAAATTGATGCAAGGTACCAGGGGGGAGGAGCAAGTCCAGCAGCCCAAGTTATAATATTTTGTACATCTCCTTCAAGTATCAAAGATTGGCCCCACGCGTGGTTGTACAATCTGAGTCTCATAAGAAGGGCCAGAGACTAAGCGAGCTGGGAATTAGCATGGCCAATGTTCTTGGAGTAGGAGGCCAGGATATGCTTAAGTGGTCCCTAAAGACCCCTCCCACCTCAGCGGGTCCTGGGTTGCCTAGAGAACAACCATCAAAATTGAGTTTTGTTAGGCCCTCTGGTATTGGGGACCAGTTAGTAGCATACAGTTGGAGGCCTAGAAGATAACTTGAGAGGTGATCTTGTGGAAGAGGGCTGAACTGTTGCTCTTGATTTCCCAAAAGATTCTAGAGTTTCGCTCGGTCGAAATGACCCAGATAGTTGCTTCTATGGAGGCCCACCATAAGGTTTATCCTGCCTTTGGCCATAGGGAATCCAAAGAGAGCTTGAGTAGGGATGGAAGGGACGCTGGAGTAACGCATGAAATGCTGAAGAGGTGAAGAATCCTACTCCATAGGTCGAATGCAATTTTGCAATGGAGGAAGAGGTGAGGATTGCTTTGTTCTTCACAGAGGCACATTGCACAATGATTGGGAATGGGAGTTCCTCTTCATTGGACGTGGTCCACGGTAAGAGCTTTTTCAGAGAACGCAATCCAACTAAAAGCTTGCACTTTCAGAGGAGATATCGAGGACCGCACTTTGGAGATCACAGAGGGTGGAAGGTGGGGAAAAGTGGGGGGTTCCAACAGTCTTCTATAAAAGGAGGTTACCGAGAACTGTCCTGAATAGGATTCTGGAGGGGGTCCACACAAGGCTGTTTGGGCCAGAGAGGGCCAAGAAGGTAGAATGCAAAAGCAACGAGAGGGAGATAAATTCTGAGGCTTCAGAGTCAGAGAGGGAGCGTCGTAGAGGGGGGTTCCAAACCCTACGGTTGCTTGAAATTGTCATTTCCTCGGCCACCACGGAGGATTTGTTGGTTGATAAGTTTAACAGCGAAGGGTAAAGGTCCTTGAAAGGTGTGTGGCCCAACCAGAGATCAGACTAGAAAAGAATTCTAGGACCTCCCCTAGGGTGGAAGCGAATGTAATTCCGGAAGCGGGATAGAGTGGACAAAAACAACTTCCATGCCCCGGAGGATCTTGAAGTGGACCTTCCTTTTGGAAGCCATGTGTTTGAGGGGATTTTGTATTTGTAGCGGATGACTTGAAACCAAAGCAAGTTGTTCTGTGTAGCTAGTTGCCACCACCATTTCCCCAGGAGGGTTGTGTTCTGAAGTCTGAGTAGACAAACGCCCAATCCACCAAGGTGTTTCGGTTGACATTCTTTCTTCCAAGAGATGAGGTGGAACTTTTTATGTTTAGCGTCCCCTGACCAAAGGATGTTCCTCTTGAGTTGTTCCCTTCTTGTCTTTCCACTCATCTGTCTCAACATCCTCATCTCAACTACATTCATTCTATGGGTATGTTGTTTCTAAATAATGATAATTTTGAGAAACATTAGTATAATTTTTCTTAATTTTATATAAAATATATGGGCATTTTGATATTTGTACAAACTTGTATCCTACATCACTTTATGAGCAGCTGTATTAGATACATCATTGTCTTCTTCAGACACGTGTCCATGTCCTTGTGATGTAGGTTCCAATAATACACATATTGGGCTTGTACATGCCTCCTTGTAAATGATTCATTGTAAGAATATGTTCCCCACATGTCACCTAACTGCACAAGATCACTCCCATGTAGGTTCTAATAATACACATTGGGCCACAGCCCCCTTAGGGACCTTTTTCCCATTCTTTTCTCCTTGGTCCTTAACGAGCTCTCTTTTGTTGTGGATGAGTTGCTGCTTTCGGGCTCCCTCGAAGTATGGAATCCTTCTTTCAGGCGACCCCTCTTTGATCTTGAAACCTCTGAATTTCTTACCTTGTCTTCCTTATTGCACTCGAATTTTGCTAGCTTCCTCTGGCCCCGACCAAATTATTTGGACCCCTTCACCCTCAGGTTGTTTTTCTGTCACCTCTTTTTACAAGAAACTCCTAATGCCACCTACCTTCCCCCTCTCCCCTAGGGCCATTGTATCCCAGGCATGGTCCTCCTCTATTACCCTTCCCAAAGTTCAAGCCCTGACTTGGATAGCCCTCTCTCATTGTGGACCAACTCTAGTGTGGGGGGGTCCCTATCCGCAATCGTTGTGCTCTTTGTATAGAAATCAAATAGCAATAAACAAGATGGAAGACCAAATATTACGAAGTCCATGAGATTTAAACTTGAAAAGTATCCACCATCTAAGTAAATTAGGGACAGAAGTACCGAGGACAAACCATTTTTCAGATCTCCAAGCTAATGATCTTCGTACACCTTGCGCAAAAGCACATTGGAATAATAGATGGAAAAGGCTGTCAACATGGTTGCTACAAAAGGGATATAAAGAGTTCAGCTGCATGCCCCGCTGCTGCAATAAAAATGAGGTGTACAATCGATAATGCAAGGCTAGCCATGTGAACCATTTCGCCTGTGGGTGGCATTTGGAAGACCAAAGTGCACAGAAAATAGGCTATAATGAACCTTGATGCCTAATAAAATCCCATACCCCTTTAATAGAAAATGGACCATCAACAGAGTGAATCCAGACCAGTGAATCCTTTTTGGGTTGTAGAGGAAGAGTATAATTCTCAACCTCCCTCCATATATTTGTCAAAAAATCAGACGTGGGAGGTGGCAGAACCCAAGACTGAGGTGCACCTCTTATATAGTTTGAAACCCTCCTCCCTGCAGCAGCCCCCAAATCCTCCTAAATATCATTACCATGCAAATCTTAAAGTGACTGACCTGCTAACCATGGATCCACCCAGAAGTCCGCCATTTGACCATTACCAATATTCCATTGTACATTGCCTTTCAAGTGCAGTTAGCCCAAGTAAAATCTCCTTCTATGCATGAGAACATCCTTCTTCCTTCAGCCTCCCATACAGAAGAATTTCTTAAATATCGATGTTTGAAGAACCATGCCAAAAACGAGGATGGATTTGTACATATCCTGAAGATTAAGTTTCTGCTGTGCATTTTTTATCGGATTAAATGAGGTCCTTTATTCTGAAGTACGGTAACATTAGTATTTTACTTCTGGATTCTGTGGTATGTCTTGTAATTTTTGTGACTATGTTGATGCGTTCATGATCTTTAACCACTGATTGTTCCATGAACTCCCATTATCGTTGTTTATGTTATAGAGAATAAAGTTATATTGCTCTTATGCTTCACTAATTTTAATTTTTTTACTATGCCTTGTAGGGATTGATTATTTGTCAGTTGCTGCATTTGATGATCTGATTCCTTCACATTTGGTCCTTCTAAAAAGCAAGGTAAAGGGACTTAATCGACAGAAATTGTGGTGAACTTATGTTGTCAATTCTGTTGTACTACAAGTTCCTTAGGCTTTGGCAGTGTGGGCGGGGGAGGTAAAGAATTGGAATCTTGAAGTTTGTCCATAAAGCTCACACAAGCTGACCTACCCTTTCTTTTAAATCTGCTATATGAAATTTTATTAGATGTAAACTTGGTTTCCTTCCCTTTGGTTACCACTTTCATATGATACAAAGGGGAATATATCAATTGACAGAATTTAGGTGACAGGGAAACTTCGCACGACAAGATAATAATGCAATGCGAATCCTCCCCCACCCCCACAAAAAAAAAAGACGAATATCCACACTCATGTTTGTGCGTGTGTCTCGTTTTGACTACCTCATGTGAAAACCTATTGAAGGCTGTCTCATTTGTACCATTTCCAGCTCTGGCTTTGGTACATTTTTTCATTTCTCATAAGAAAATCTCAAATAGTTCCATGCATCAGGATACCTTTCGTTGGACAATATTAATCATATCAACTGCGTAATGACTTAATCTGGTGTAATGTTTCAGGATATTATATTGGTCGAGGGCCTCAAATTAGACAATGTAAAGCCTGGTATCTACTCATTGCACTGCTTGCACCTCCGATTAATAGGTGCAGAGGGATCACCAATACGATGCATTCTGATCGAATGAGACTCCTAGGAGTGATAAGTAGTTCAGAGAAATCATATTTAACACGAGCCTCTCTTTGGTGAAACTCCGATGCTTCTTTATAGGCTACTGCTAATTATTCATGTTAAAATAATTCATCGTATACAAATTTTTCACTTCTGTATATAGCAAAAGTAAATGTCTTTGATGGTTTGTGAATTACAAAAGAACGATTTAATCAATTCTATAATCAGTAAACTTTTCAGTTCTTATCATCTTGTTAATTTGGTGCACCTGCATATGCAAAGGCAGTTCTAGAAACTTGATGTATCAAATAGCGGCTCCTTTTGGGGCTTGATACATTTTAGGTGTTTAGCCTCTTTCCAAGCATTGACTTTTATAAAATAGACCTAAAATTTAGGACTAGGGGAAAATGGTATTTATTATAGCAAATGGAAAAATTTGCTCCTATAGTTATGATTTGTATTTTGGAATTTAGGTTTTCATCGTTAGATATTTGGTCAGACTTTGCATTTGAGCATCAAAACTTTCATGTTCATTGCCTTTTTTACCTTTTGGCATTTAAATATTAGCATGAAGGTTTTTAGGTACTTTTGTGAATGTGCCTTCTTGTCCGAGCTGGATCTCGTTTGGGCATCTAATATGTTAGCTGTTTTCTTATGGGCATCAAACCCAATTCCATACCTAAATGGGCTGAGATATGTTTGGTTTGTATTTTAGTCCAGGTTCCTTGGATTAGCCCTTGGCCTTTCATGTATGTGCTGTGGCTGTTTATTACTGGGCCACAAGGCAAGCAACAATATGTGATTGAGGGCATAATTATTCTTATTTTTAAATTTTATTCAATTTCAAATGATGTATATTATAGTTTTAATTTTAAGTTTTATTTCTAAGGTTTTTTTTAGTTTTTTTGAGATTTTAGGGTTTTTTTTTTTTTTTCTTCCCAAGTATTATTTAGAACTATTGTTCATGAGTACTGTTTACGGTTACTGTTTGTAGAGGTAAAACTGTCATTACAATTTTCAAGTTTAAGTTAGGATAAATGGGTTAATGTATTATTTGTTTGGATATTTTTTGTACGTAGAATATTGAATTATAATATTAAGGGGTGCATGGGGCCTTGATAGGTCATTCCACATGAGTTTTAGAAATTAAAATATAAAAAAACGTAGATTTTTGATACCTTAGTTTGGGGTACGGAGAAGAAACCTTAAGTTTATTTGAATTAAGGTTGTGTTTGGCTTTATGTTTTGCTGATTTTAATGTTCTTTCAAATTTTTCTGCATCAATATGACGAGATTAAGGGCAAAAAAGATGGGTAAAATGTGATCGATATAGAGTTCAAACAAGTAAAATTGTCACCTCAATTGTTGACAATGGACCACCATTGCTAGCTCTTTCTCTATTGGGTGTTCACTTTGGCTGGGTAACATTCGTCTCTTAACAACTTTGGTTGATGTGATGTACATCATTATATATAATATTGAAAGAAATTGGGTGTTAAAATTTCATGTGACTTCTCTAAATTTGACAGTCCAAATTGGACTGAATTTTCGTTGAATGGAAGCCTTTAGAACAAAAATATTAAACGATAAAAACAAGTTAAAGTCTTAATATGTTTTTCGAAGTTTTAGCCTGACTAGAAAGGGAGCTCTCTCTATCAAAATCTATCCTCGAAGAAAATGGAAGCCTCAATATTTTTTCAAGTTTTTAGCCTGATTAGAATGGGGAGGCGTCTCTCTCTCTCTTCTTGTAATTAATGTTTTGTGAATTATGCAATAATGATTTAATAGGTTTTAAAAATGGATGAATTCATTGTTCTGACTCCTTCACATGTGACTCTAAAGGGCGACAATGTGGGACCAGCATATGCAAAGCCGTTTATGTCATTCCTCAACGTATTGAATACATGAAGTTGTGAGAAGTTCCAATTGGTGCTGAGGGAGAAACTGAATTTGATCTCCATATCCAAAATATTTGTAAAATATCAATTATCTCATCTTTGCCAGTTACGAGTCGTATAGGTTTCCTTGACAATTAACACATCATCAACCTTATGGTATATTTATGAGGCAGTGGCGACTTGTTGAAGTGCATGGACAATGAGCATGTCAACACTTTACTCGGTCTTAGATTGCATCTTAGCACCTTTGCTGGATGAAATAATTGTCGATTGGAGGAGTGATGAAAAGCAATTCGTTTGTGAGCAAGAATGGGTGGTGAAATAATTGGTTAGCTATTCTGTTGGGTTCCCGACAACTGAAGTTGGATTAGAAGTTTGGTTGTAATGTGTTGATATTTTCCTAATAATAATCATCAATGCCAGAGACGCAGAGCTTGATAGAGGTATATTTTGGAGGCAAATCCTTCACTATTGCATGGTCCCACTGAAACCACTCCATACTCGGTCTATGGGGGCGACGCAGTCTTGCCTCTGGAGGTTCAGCTGCCCTCTCTACCTGAAACCATCCATCATGAGATGACGGACAAATAGCAAACTGCTCTCTGTTACCAAGAACTGGATGCCTTCGATGAAAAGAGTTTGAGAACTTTGCAAAGCCTTGAAATTCATCGAGGCCGTATGTGTCGAGCATTTGACAAGTCATGATCTTTAACATGTCTCTCTTATGGTCCCGGCGGTATGATCTTTAAGATGCCTCCCCAAAATGATGGATGTGGTGAAAACCTAAAAAGGCATCATGGGTAAAAATGTTAAAGAAATAAAAGAAAGAAAAAATGACGGGCATCATAGTATCATCTCCTATCATGAGTAAAAGAGTTGAAAAGAAAAAAAAAGGGGCACAGCAAAAACCCACTAGAGAATCGTGAGTAAAAAAGTAAAAAAAGAAAAGAAAAAAAAAAGCAGGCATGGGGTAACAACCATGAGTAAAAGAACCACAAAAAAATTCTGACAGGGTTTTGTGAAAACCAAAAATGGGGGCTTGGATGAAAACCTGAAAGCGCGTTCATGTCATGAAGAATAAAGGCCGAAGTTATTTCAATGAGAAGCGGCTCTAAAATTCCCCAACCTCTTGAGGATGCAAAGGAAAACCATGTAAAGTCACAAGCAAGAGAGATAAGCAAGCCAAGAAACGAAAAGAAGGGCATTCATTCCATGACAAAAGTAGAGGTTAAGTTGTGGGCTCAAAACCTCAAGCTACAAAAGAAATGAAAAAAGAGGAGTGTCTCATGTCATGGCTCAAGGCTTTACATAACAAAGGAGAAAGAAAAAAAAAAAAGACTAGCCCAAACAAAAGGAGCTAATCTCCATATGCTATTAAAGGCCTCAAATTGAAGAAGAAAGAAAGCAAAGAAGGTGAAGATAGTCAGCAGTTATTTTTTCTTGTAGCAAAACTCAGAGCATACCCGTTGCAGCATCTACAACCCATCCCTCAATTTTTATGCCTTAAGGTGGCCTGTATGCTGGACCAAAGGAGGGAACTTGACATGTTCAAGCCTAGACGACAAACGATCCCTCATTCTCTTGCGAGCCAAGACTAGTAAATCTTCGGTTTTGCTGATGAATTGTTTAAGAGTGGCCATATCACTCTCATTCTCAAGAAGTGAAATCTTAGCCATGGCTATGTCCTATGCAACCTTGGAAGAACACATTTGAAAATCAGGATAGATGTGTTTGAAGACATTTTTCAGTACCTTGGGTCCCCGATACGGAATAAAAAGAGAAGTCGGTCAATAAAGCTTGAATTACAGTACATATCTCGATAGTCTCAAAATTGTCCCAGAACCAGTGAAAATGTTCATAAAGACTTCAAAAGGTCACCTGCCAAGTTTCGTTGCAATTCGACATGTCTAAGACTGTGCAGACAAAGAAACAAATTTGGAAAAATTAGTCTCTCGTACCCTGAAACAAACCCCGTAACTAGAAATCTATTTTCGGTGTGTCAAATTACTTAGGAACCTCCGCCATTAGATCTGGCATGGTCGAAAACCCCTATGGGTTAAGTTTCGACTCAATTGGGCACTCCAAGACAAAGTTATGGGTAAAAGATCGAAAAGGGGTAGGCCGCACACTATTCCCGTGCGCCCTCTCTACACCAAATCACCATTAATGGTGACTGTTTTACAGTCTCAAGCAGTGACTTTCGAGAGCCATATTTCAATCGTCTCGAGTCGGATCACGCTCAAATATTGTGAGCGTGTTCTTCTCGTTAAGACGAGCGTTTTGAAATGTGGCATGCCTCGTGACAACGGCCGAGCAGGGAGAAAAACTAGAGAGAAGTCGATGATTCGTGGAAGAAGTTGCAGAAAATTCAGCAGTGACACATCGCACCGGCTATATTATGGTGCTCACGTATTGAATTGACATGAGATCAGTTCCATCGCGTGCGTAAGGTCCAGGGCTACCACTGGTCCGAACCTCGTGCGTGATGAACGATCGGATTTCATGTGCGAAGCGGATAAAATTGCTGTAAAATTTCGGCCGTCAGAATTCGGATTCGGGCAAAAAACCCAAGACTGCAAAATCTTCTTCCGGGTACAAAATGGAGCTGTGTTTATTGCCACGCGAAGAAATCAGGAAGAAACATCAAGATATGAACACACTATCGTTCCGAAAGTTTTCAAGATTCGCACGAACTTCAAGTCGCAAGATCGTGGCTTAAAAACATGACCTGTGGCTTGAAGTTAGTATCAAATCGATCACCAAGACGAGCCCCACAAGAAAGCAATCATCTTTTTATCAAATGGGTACCAGAGCAACCCCAGATAATCCATGGAAAATCATGCACGTTTTAGGGCATCAACAAGGGCTGTTTTGGAATTCCATGTATTGGTAGGTAGGGGCCAAACACTCATTTTGCACCTATTTTAAGAATTTTTTTCAATTCAAATAAATTGTAATTATCATCAATTAGGATAATTTTTTGGCATCCACCCATGTTTAGGGCCCAATTCTATAAATACATGCTAAACCTAATTGTAAAAGGGATCCCCTCGTACTTTCAATTGATCAATAAAATTCGAGTTTTTACATTGAGTTGGAGAGGCACGTCTTAGAGAGAGAGAGAGAGAGAGAGAGAGAGAGGAGAGAGAGGAGAGAGAGGTGAGAGAGGTGAAGGTAACTTCTCTCTCCTCTTTTATCTGTCTTATTTCTTCCTTTCTCTCTCTTCTTCTTCTTTCCTCTTTTCTCTTTCTTTCTCTCTCTTCCTCTTCTTCTCTCTGTCTCTCTCTTCTCCATCTCAAACAAGCACGACAGTAACCATTGTCGTGCATGTCTCTCTCTCT